AATGAACAAAAAATAAATATTAAAAAAGAGTGATTCAAGTCTGGGCTTATGGTATGTTTTACTACTTTTTTGCAAAGGGTCAGAGCTTTCCTATTTGTTCAGCTATTCACAAGGCAGAGCCCTGAAAAGGTAAAAGGGGGACTTCCAGAGAGAATGCTGACTCAGAAGATTGCCTTAGAAGGAAGAAAACTCTCCCACAGAGTTCAAGTCTGTTGGATTTAATATGACAGATCCTAAAACATGTAGAAAATGCACAGAATGTCCAGGCTTCCTCTCAGGAATAAAGGCAACTCCTGATCTCTCTTCCTGTTAAAACTACTCTTCTACCTACCACAATGGAATGGCTTGGGATGATTTCCAAGGAGGGGGTCTTGACCCTCTGACGTCTAGTCAGACAGTTTAAGTATTCACACACACAAGAATCACAAAATGCCCTGAGGAATTCATTTATGGCATTTGGTGGTTGTCTGCTGGACCCCTGCCAGCATAAAAGTTGGCTGCCTAGGATAATGCTGACTGTGAGAGACTGAAATAAAAGTTGAGTTCATTCCTTTATTTACTGAGCAAATATTTATTGAATGTCTACTATGTATTGTGTACTGTTCCAGGGAAGGAAATATAGAATTGATCAAAAGAGACCCTGTCCCTGCCTTCATGAAGCTTACTTTCTATGAGTGGAAGATGAAAAAAATAGGTACACACATATAATATGGATAAAGGAAAAAAAGTTCAACAATTACAATAACATAGATAGATAGATAGATAGATAGATAGATAGAGTATCTAGTGGTGGAAATATTAAAGAGAAAAACTAAACAGCAGGTTAATGCATATTAAGAATTAGGTTCCATTTTATACAGGCTGGTCACAGAAGGCCTCTCTGATAAAATGGCATTTTTAGCAGAGTCCTGAGGGAAATGAGGGAGCAAATTATGTGCATATCTGGGGGACAAGTACTCCAGAACAGGCAGACTTCTGGTTTATTTAAAAATAATATAAAGTAGCCATTAAGAGCTCTTTGATCTTTGTGTGTATGTGTATGTGTGTGTGTGAGAGAGAGAGAGAGAGAAAGAGAGAGAGAGAGAGAGAGAAGATTATTTCAAGTGGACTTGGTGGAGATTTGACATCAGAGTAGGCAGAAAGATTCCTCTCTTTTAGCTGGGCACAGTGGCACATGCCTGTAATACCAGTGATTCAGGAGGCTGAGGCAGGAGAATCCCAAGTTTGAGGCCAGACTTAGCAATTTAGCAAGCCCTAAACAACTTAGAGAGACCCTGCCTCAAAATTTAAAAATTAAAAAAAAGTGGCTGGGGATGTGGTTCAGAGGTTAAGTGCCCCTGGGTTTAATCCCCAGTATCAAACAAAAAAGAAAGAGTCCTTTCTTGAAAAGCTGTGCTGGAACAGCCATTGCTTCCTAGACCTGGCTGGTTACAGCCTCAGACTGAGGCCTGCTAATGGCTAGTGCTTAAGAGGACCAACAGGGCACTGCAAGTCTTGGTGGGCTAACTCACAAATATTTGCTATGGGATTCAAGAGAAAATAAGCAAGAAAACAAAATAGCTCCAATGCAAACTACTACCAAAAGAAATTCAAAGTATAAAATTATATTAAAACATAAAACACACCAATTACTCTAATTAACCATGAAGTTGAACTTTACCCCAAGTGGTAAAAATGGAGATAAAGGTTTTTTTATTCTCTCTTTTCTTTTCCTTTTCTTTCTTTTGTGTGTGTTTGAGGGAGGGGGACTGACAGAGGAGTTGTTATGTTGAACCCATGACTCTGGTCCATGTAAGGCAAGTGCTCTACCACTGAGTCCCTCTTTTCATGCCTACCCCCTTTTTCCTTTTTATCTTTATACACACACACGTGTGTGTATATATATATATGTATGTGTGTGTGTGTATGTATATATACATACATATACACACACATACATATATATATATGTAAAATTTCAAACAGTGGGGGCATATTCTTACCAAAGGGAGTCTGATGTTTGGGGCCTGAAGCTCACCCAAAGTAAAGGGCTTCTGGTCTAGATAACAGAAAAGTTTGGCACAAGATAGCCCTTTATAAATAGGCAAACTATAGAAAGATATGAGAAAAAATGGTTGCCCCGATTTCCTGTTTAATATTTTCATGTCCTTTTGTGATGCAGGACTTCACAACCAATGTTTGCATTTAAAACATCAAAAAGCCTAATGATGGGGGGCTAGGGCTGTGGCTCACTGGTAGTGCACTTGCCCAGCATGTGTAAAGCACTGGGTTTGATTCTCAGCACCGCGTATAAATAAATAAAAATGAAGGTCTATCAACAACTAAAAAAATAAAAATAAAGTTTAAAAAGTCTAATGATGGCTATTCAGTTTTAGAAAAGGTAAAAACTAAATTAAGGTGGTATTAAATTTGTGGCGGAGTGGGACACAAGTATGAAGAATTTGGTTCACTTATCTAAGTTTTTGGTCTACCTCTAAATTCTAAACAGTGTGGGGTAAACTACAAATAAAAAACCCACTTTATGAGTCTTTACCTTGTATCCTGACTGAGAACAACAGTAAGGTCTCTAAAGAAGGAAAAGAAATGTTTTAAAAACTCTGCAATTGAGTCCCCATTTACCAAAAATGTTCTGAGTTGAGGAACGAGGTAGAATTCAGAAGATGATCAGGGAGAAGACATACTTAATTTTAATTTGGGTTTGTGGGCAAGATGGATGATACCAATGTAAAAATGAGCCTGGGTTGTTATGCGGATCCCTATTTACCATAATCCTTTCCAGCTGGCCATAAAGATTAACGGTTGGCCATTCTCTGACCCACCTCACTCTTCATTCACTCTGTGATCCAAGAGGAAAACCTATTTACTGATCTGAAAGCAATCTAGCCATTTTAAGTAAAGTTAACTTGAGGCCAAACAATGGAGGGCTTTTAGCTAATCCACTGTCAGTATGGAGATATAACTTGCTCAAGCATAGGGAAAGATAGACAGCAGCTCCTTCTTAATGGATTTCAAGAAACACACCATGACTATACCAACACTGAAAAAAAGATTACCGCATTAGCACTGTCACTGTCTCATTTGCCCAAATATCTTCTGTTAATCCATTAACCTTTACAGAAAACAGCTACTTGAACAATACTCCCTGCTCTCTGGTACTGTTGTAATGCCCACTGTTATGGTTTAGATATGAGGTGTTCCCCAAAAGCTCATGGGAGACAATGCAAGAATTTTCAGAGGTAAAATGATTAGATTCTGAAAGGCACAGCCTACTCCTTGTATCAATCCACCGATACGGATTAACTGGGTGGTAATTGTAGGCAGGTGAGGTGTGGCTCTAGGAAGTAGGTCACTGGGAGGCATGTCTTTGGAGTTTATACTTTTCTCTGGTGAGTGGAGTGCTGGCACACATGCTTGCGCTCTCGCTCTCGCGCGCGCTCTCTCTCTCTCCTTCCCGGTTGCCTTGTCCTGAGCTGCTTTCCTCCACCATGCCCTTCCACTATGATGTTCTGCCTCACCTAGGGCCCATAGCTATGGAGTCAGCTGAACATGGGCTGAACCTCTAAAACTGTAAGCCAAAATAAAATTTTCCTCTTCTACATTGTTCTCGTCGGGTCTTTTGGTCACAGCAATGAAATGCTGACTTAAAACACCTTTCTTCATCACTTAAATTATACATGTTCTCTAGAAAGAGCTCTATTTGCAGGGTGTTTTGCTAGCTGGAATCCCCAAGAAGCTCATAGTCACCTAAGACACAAAAAAAGGTTTAATGACACGTAGGTTTAAAGAAGGTCAAATGTGGTCTGCCACATTAAATAGAAGCTTCCTCAGGATAAAAAAAAAAAAAATCAAATTAATTAGCACCCTCAAGCAATGCAACTATTTGGCTCTCCCTAACACCTTTGTTTAAACATTAATGGTTACACAAACAAACAAAAAAACCCCAAAATTTGGAATATAGATAACTTCCTACTATTAGAAGTTTTTTAGAAATAAGAATATAAACAAAAATGCCCAACCCAATCTGAGATAAAAAGAAAATTTCAGAAGGGATAAGCCATCTATCTACCTTATATGCTCTAAGAATATGACTCAGAACCTTTGGAAACAAAAATCTCTCACTGCTCTCTCAATAGAAATATGAATAGATGGGTGGACAGACAGATACACACATAAAGGGGTATGTGTGTGTGGGGTCTTCATTTAATACTCTCAAACATCTGCTGAAAGATGTATTTTCCTTTAGTACTGGTCAGCTTACACAGTTCTCTCAAAAGGATCTTTCCATAGTAACTGATTAATTATCCTCCAATAAATGGCATGCCTGTCTGATTAACTATATTGACAAGGACAGAAAAACCAGATGGCTCTGTAACAGACGGATTAGTAACAGAAGAGAGATTGCTATTTAACATTTAAATCAAACACAGTTCTTATTTCCCTTGACCTTTTATCAGGAGGGGGAAAATTTGTTGGAAGAACTTTGTGATGTGTTCTCTAGAAGACCATTTCTGGAAAAAAAGGTTAGATAATTGGTATAAAATACACCTTTGATCATATCATAGTATACTAAGAGCCTGCCATAAATATTATCCACAGCAATATACATATATTTTCTTTGGAAAAGGACAAAGCCTCGGATTTATTTTATTTGTGGTAAGAGAAACAGAATTTCATTGGCTTCCAATAAAAGCACATAAATATGCATACTCATAATATTAATATTATTTTATTTTTAATATTTTATTTATTGGTTGTTCAAAACATTACAAAGCTCATGATATATCATCTTTCATACATTTGACTCAATTGGGTTATGAACTCCCATTTTTACCCCAAATACAAATTTCAGAGTCACATCGGTTACACACTCACATTTTTACATAATGGCATATTAGTGACTGATGTATTCTGCTACCTTTCCTTTCCCCTATTATCCCCACTCCCCTCCCCTCCCATCATCCCTCTCTACCTCATCTGCTGTTGTTCAATTCTCTCCCTTGTTCCCCCGCCCTTTCCCCTCACATCCTCTTCTATGTAATTTTGTGTAACATTGAGGGTCTCCTACCATTTCCATATGCTTTCCCTTCTCTCTCCCTTTCTCTCCCCCCACTCGTCTTTGTTTAATGTTAATCTTTTCCTCATGCTTTTCCTCCCTGTTCTGTTCTTAGTTGCTCTCTTTATATCAAAGAAGACATTTGGCATTTGTTTTTTAAGGATTGGCTAGCTTCGATTAGCATAATCTGCTCTAATGCCATCCATTTCCCTGCAAATTCTATGATTTTGTCATTTTTTATTGCTGCATAGTACTCCATTGTGTATAGATGCCACATTTTTTTTATCCATTCATCTATTGAAGGGCATCTAGGTTGGTTCCACAGTCTAGCTATTGTGAATTGTGCCGCTATGATCATTGATGTGGCAGTATCCCTATAGTACGCTCTTTTAAGATCCTCAGGGAATAGTCCGAGGAGGGCGATAGCTGGGTCAAATGGTGGATCCATTCCCAGCTTTCCCAGGTATCTCCATACTTCTTTCCAGATTGGCCTTACCAATTTGCAGTCCCACCAGCAGTGTAAAAGAGTACCCTTTTCCCCACATCCTCGCCAACACTTATTGTTGTTTGACTTCATAATGGCTGCCAATCTTACTGGAGTGAGATGGTATCTTAGGGTGGTTTTGATTTGCATTTCTCTGACTGCTAGAGATGGTGAGCATTTTTTCATGTACTTGTTGATTGATTGTATGTCCTCCTCTGTGAAGTGTCTGTTCAGGTCCTTGGCCCATTTGTTGATTGGGTTATTTGTTATCTTATTGTTTAATTATTAATATTATTTTTACACGTGAAGTTACATTGTTCTTGCTTCTTTGGATCACTTGCCATTTCATCTCCATTAGGCTCCTGGAATCCTTTGGTTCATTAAAATAACCAACCTTTATGTATTCTGAGTAGGAAAAATTCTATTAATAAAGAAATATTCCATAGTGGCAGCCAATAATAGTCAAATACTCAGTAGGGAAGAAATTTAAAATGCTCTAAATTACCAACAGCTGCTGTAACAAAGTAGCTACTTAAAGATGAATCCTTATTTAGCAAAACTCATTTTGGAAACCTAGACATGGATCGAAAGGCCATCAATCAAATGGCGTTCAGTACCCTGTCTCCCCTCTGTGAGCCTCCATTTTGGGACTGGGAAGTAGGGAGATTACATAGCTTACTTCAGTCCATCTGTGAGTACTTACAGTCTTCATTCAAGCAAAAGGCTCCAAGTATTCTAAGGAAGGAATATTATTTTACCTTGTTTCTCCAAAGCTTAAAGACACCAGAAAAAGAAGTGGAGCTACTGAGAATCATGTCTCTAAGATGGCTGGGCAGGTATAGTAGGACAGGTTCTATCTGTCCGCTATCATTAATATCAACCAGGTTTACTAGTAGGGCTCATGCTCCTAGGCAGGAGCTAAACATTAAAAGAGAACTATTATGTCACGTCACTAGATCACATCAATTTCACTTGTTCCTAAGAAGAAATCAAGGCTGCCTAGATTTCCTTTTCAACCGAACAATTATAAACCACACCATCTCTAATAGACTTGTACACATTCCAAAATCTTTTAAATTTTTAAATTTTAATCTGTCAGTAAGTGAACTGAGATGATCTTATCCAAGGGAAAAATCTTAATCAAGACTTGATAATACCTGAGTCTCTTAGGTTCTAGGAGTCCCATAAATCCCTTAATTATTATGTGTAAAACTATGTGGATATGTGCATTTTTCTAAGATGAATGTTTATAGCTTTTGTTCTTTCAAAAAGTTCCAGGGTAAGAAAGTGTTAAAATGGCTGCCTTAATAAACAAGTAATTTTTGTTCTACCTTTTCTCTATAAAACAAAGTTTCTTAAAATATTCACTCCCTAAATAATACATCGAAGGAATTCCTCTTCTACACCTTCTGTATTTGGTTCTTCCCCATTGCCCCACAGAAGACCACATCACCACCTGATCTCAACAACACAGGTGGCAGCATGTCTATGAGGAAGAGGGTGCACTCATAAGCAAAATTAATCCTAAACTTAGTTTGGGCCTGCTACTGATTAGATCAGCCGTTTCAAATTATTCTGGGCCTCAGTCTCACAGGGACATGAAACCTATCCAACTATTCCTAGAGGTCTGCAAGAGGCTTTAAATATAATAGTGAAAAAGACAAGGAGATGAAAATAAAAGTAAGTCTAAAAACGCAATACAAATAAAAGAATGGAACCCAAGTTGAATTTTCCTTTATTAAAAGTATATTTTTAGCAGAAGGCTGGGGCAGGAGAATCACAAATTCAAGGCCAGCCTCAGCAAAAGTGAGGTACTAAGCAACTCAGTGAGATCCTGTCTCTAAATAAAATACAAAATAGGGCTGGGGATGTGGCTCAGTGGTTGAGTGTTCCTGGGTTTAATCCCTGGTATCCCCACCCCCCAAAAAAGTGTATTTTAATTTCATATTTACATGGCATACCAGGCCCCCATGGAGGCATCATGAGGGCTGCATGGAGTTATTAAAAAAAAAAAGCAAAGTTATAACTTTATAGGGAGCTTCTCTGGCCTGGAGAGCACTTACTGGTGCATTCAGGTACCTCTGCTCTATCCAGGCACCACCAACACAGAGTTTGAATGGTGATATGCTAAGGCCAGGCCACATATCAAGGCCATTTTGCTGGATTTACAGAGTACAAGTCAGCTCTTTAGGCGATGGGGCAGGATGGTTTCATTATCGTGATTTGGGGCATCCCTGCCAGCTGTCAAATTAAAAAGAAAGACCTATGTAGATCTCAATGCTCAGATGCTCGAGTGCTCAATCCTTTCAAGAAAACTTAGTTTTACTATTGTTTCCTTCCTGATCCTTCTTTTAGTAAGACATGGGGACTATCAACCCTACCATTAGATGAGACTAATGCAAGAGAAATTTTTAAAATGATAAGCCTGTCCACTTTCAGATACACATGCCTCTCGCCTGAAAGACTGACTTCCCAGAAGCCTGAGCTGCTCTGCTGGACTCACAATCTAGGATGAGAGCCATTTAAGGAATTGTGAAAGAAAGGGAACAAAAGCTGAGTGCTGCCTTACAAGTATGTGCCAAAAAGCTAGCAGGTGGAAACACTCTTTTTAAACTCTATTAAGAAACTGACTCACTGAAGGCACAGAGAGGAATGAAACTAGGAAAAAAGAAAGAACATACCCATCTAGGCTTTAGGGAAAAAAAAAAAAATCTAAGTATGATGTGAAAGCAAAGAGAACACCTGGGTTCAGGAAATCTCCAGGAGAAGAAATGTTTTAGTATAAGATTCCTCACTATACTACAAGACTAGAAAGTTGCCTGGATTTAAAAAAAAAAAAAAAAAAAAAAGGCAAGGAACTAGGCATGGTGTGTACTTAGTCTCTGCTGCTTAGGAGACTAAGACAGGAAGACCTCTTGAGCCCAAAAGTTAGGGGCTAGCCTGAGCAACATGGTAAGATTAGGTCCCAAAAGTTCAAGTGTTTAATTGGGGTTGTTTCTGTTGATACCCAGCCAATGTGATGTTACTCCTGTCACCTAATTCAATGGTGTAAGTTATTAAACTTGAATAATTAAAATATTAAACTAGAAATAAACCATGTATTTATAGCCACAAGTAAGAAAGACAAATTATATGTAGAACCTTAATAAAGATCCCAAAGAGGGCCTGGAAGGTCATGTGACTGCCTACCCAGTATCTGGCATACAGTAAATGCCCAGTAAAGAACTGCTTTCGGTCTGGGGTTGTGGCTCAGCAGTAGAGTGCTTGCCTCTCATGTATGAGATCCTGGGTTTGACCCTCAAGCACCACATAAAAATAAATAAACAAAATAAACATATTGTGTCCATGTATAACTAAAAAAATATATTTTTTAAAAAAAGAACTGCTTTCATCTTTAGCTGTGCTGTCAACTTAGGAAAAAGTATCCTAGTTTACCGTGTTGAGTTGGCATTGTACAGAAATTAACAGCCATATTGGTCTAGAAACATTAAACTTAATTTTTTTCCATTTGTACAGGGGTAATGCACTGTATTAAATATGTAAGGTCTTATCTACATGGGTTTGATTATAGAAACCAATAAAGTATTCTCTAAGGATAAAAAAAGAACTGCTTTCATATTTTAAAAGATGGAGGGTAAGAAAGACACTAAGTTAGGAAGCATTCAGCAGGAGTCAGGAAAAAAGAACTTGTCTTCACTCATCCATGAATTCATGACAAATCATAGAGCTAAACATGAGGAAAAGCATCCTATGAAAGAAGCACAGAGGTTTCAAATGGTGGCTCTAAAGCAATACACAGATTTGTGTTATCCATACAATAAAGTTTGAATTTGTTGCAATAATTAAAAAATGAGACTTCACATAAAAATCTATCTTCCCCTTTACGAAAATCAGACCTCTAGCAACATGGAGGCTCACATGACAACAATGAGCTTAAACTGAGTAGAAGCTATCCCACTTTGATGAAATGTGGGCTGAACAGTTGGCCAGTTTGCACCACTCCTTACTGTGACTCCCAGCCTAATTTATTCATTTTTTTTCCCGTCTGCCTTGCTACTAGTGGCATTAAGTTATGGCCATTTATACAGTGAAAAATGGTCTCTACTGAGAGCTCAAAAATCTGGGTTCTAGTCCTGACTCAGCTACAAAATTGTATATGTGGTTACTTATGTTACCTAATCTTTATGAGTCTCAGTTTTCTCATGCTGAAAGGAAGAGTTTGTACAAAATGCTCTCTAGTGGTTCTATGATTTGAAATCATCTATAATGGGGGCAATGAAAATGAAGACAACACAAAGTAGTTTCAACATATTTCATACTTTATTCTGAGTAAAATTTTTTGAAATTTCAATTTAATTTTGAGGTTAATGAATCCCTAGCAAACCTAAAATAGACAAAAAGAAGCACAGGCCCTCTGGAATAATATCTGGATCCATTTGTGTGGCCTGACTAACCTCTTTGTAATTAAAAGCCAGAAGACTATCTCAGATAGATAGGATCATTTATCTATTTTGCTTTTCTCATCCATTTTCATTCCTATTATGGGAATTCTCAAGATTCCTCTCTGGAATGGTTACCTAGCCATTGACTAAATGAAGAGTTTCAGAGCACAGAATCTCAGGCTACAGGCATTCCTAGTCTATACATGAAAGAGGTGGCACTTTGTAATCCCAGCTACTTGGGAGGCTTAAGCAGGAAAATCATAGTTTCTAGACTAGCTGGAAAGAAATACAGCAAGACCCCATCTCCAAATACATACATACATACATATATACACATCAATATAAGGAAAAGGTAGACTTTGGAATCTAAAGGCAGCAAAAATGATACTGTCTAGACTAGTCAAACACACATTTCAATCTTGCAGATCACACCGAACTGTGGCAGCTGCTGTTTAGCCCAGAGTGCGAAAAGTCAAGAGTCTTTAAATCACCTGTGAAAGACATTTTCCAGGACTGGGACATGTTTGGTCTCCTTTGCGGCACTTAAAACTATAAACTCAATTGATAGCTTCACTGTAAACCCATTATTAATTCATCCTCCCAAAAGTCCCTGAAAGTTGAACAGGAAATATGATATGTATCTGCATTTACAGTTAGAGGAGCCTTAGGGCCAGAAAGCCAAATACCACACGATGACCTATAGCTAAGTAATTAATAGAAAAGCCAAGTTTAAATCTCTATATTTCCTATTCTCTTAGATGCCTCTAATAATCTATATGGGGGATAAGAAAAGACTTAGTCTGGTCCAAAGTCAGAGTCAATGACTGCATTCTCCATCATCCAAGAAAAACCACTACCCCAACCAAAGAGCAGTGCAGTCTATCAGAGAGAATATGATTCCCATAAGCTTTCCCCTTAGAACAAAAGTCATAAATAATGAACTAGTCAAATCTGAATAGAGAAAACTAAAAGTCCCTCAATGTTTTTTTTTTTTTCATTAAATATAAATGCAAGGCAAACTAGCTATAATTTCAATGTACATACCCAGGACCATCACAAAATACCTTGCCTGGCTCTGCCTCTGCAACACCAGCCCTAATGCTTTCTGAGCAAAATTGGTAAATATAATCTAGATCAGGGGTTTTTAACGAGGGGCAACATTCCCTTCAAGGGACATTTGGTAATACCCAGAGACCTTTTTGGTTGTGTGGAGGACAACAAAGGATGATATTATTGACATCTAGCAAGGAGAGGCCAGGAATGCTATCACCCATCCTACAATGCACAGGACAACCCTACACCACAAAGATTTATTCAGCCGAAACATCAACAGTGCCGAGGTTGAGAAACAATGGTCTAGATGTTGTCTACATTTTGGCCAGAGGAATTTGATCTGGGTCTTTTAAGGACTCCACAAAGACAGGCTTTGGCTACTAATATACAGTTTGAAGAAAAAAACAATATCCATATTTTTTCAACTCTTGTCTTTCTTCTCAGCCAGTGTTCATGGCAATAAAGTCTTAAAAACTATTATTTTCTGCATGCTTTTTATTATTTAATGAAATAAGAATCACATGCATAAGTTGACAGAAGATAGAAGAATCAACAAAAGCAAAGAAGACTGAAGGAATAAACAAAGGTAGTGGTTGCAGGACTAGGTTGCCATTTCCACAGCCATATTAAGCTAAATCAACTATTTTCCATAGCAGACCAATTCTCTGTTCTATTGAGAATCTGATCACCTCTTCTCTAGAAACTGATTCTTCCTACCTAAGAAACAAATTGCCTACAGTACCACATAAGCAAATAAAAACTAAGTCATGTAGGTACTATGGCTTCCTCCAAAGATAACATTTATATAACTGAGGCCATCTAGTGGTTTCCAGTGTGGACTGAAGCTAAGTAGGCCATAGGACTGGAGTACAAATTCTGAATTTGGCTGGGTGTGGTAGCACATACCCTTAATCCCAGCTATTTGGGAGGTTGATTAAGGAGGACTGGAAATTCAAGGTCATTTTAGCAACTTAGTAAGACCCTGTTTCAAGCATGAAAAATTAAGCCAGGCACAGTGGTATACACCTGTAATCCCAGCAACGCAGGAAGCTTGACACAGGAGGCTTGTAAATCTAAGGCCACTCTCAGCCACTTAGTGAGACTCTATCTCAAAATTAAAAATAAAAAGGGCTGGGGATGTAGCTCAATGGCAAAATGCCCCTAGGTTCAATCCCCAGTACCTACAAAAAAATAAACATTTTTAAAAGGTGGGTGGTGTTAGGATTTAACTCAGTGGTAGAACACTCATGGGTTAATTCCCCAGTTCAGCAAATAAATATATTATCTACAAAGGGGGAAGTATCTATCTTGGAAAACTTGAATATTCTTATCTACCTACATGCAACTCAATTCAACAAGTGTTTATTCTACTCCTACTACATATACAAATCATTAAACTACTTAGGGAGTCTAGCAACTTCAGCCTAGAGAGAAAAATCCTACCCTTTAAAAAGCAGGGTCTTGAAAGGTTCTCAAAGAATTGTTTCTTTTGCCAGGCACAGTGGCATATGCCTGTGATCCCAGCAACTCAGGAGGCTGAGGCAGGAAGATCACGTTTGAGGCCAGCCTGGGCAACTTAGTGAGACCCTGTCTCAAAACAGAAAATAAAACAAGTAGGGATATAACTCAGTGGTAGAGCACCCCTGGGTGCAACATATAACTGAAAAAAAATTTTTGTTTAGGCTTCTTATCCCAAAATAACAATAAAGAGGTGGGGTATGTTATGTCAAAATGCGGCAAAATTGATGAGCCCAAAGATGAAATACTAAGCACCAGCAAGAAACAAAGGTTTTTTTCTTTTCTTTTTTCAATCTGAATGTAAAGTAGCAATAAGATTGGTTTTCCTTGAGAAGAAAAAAAATTGTTTATTTGATTTGCCTTTACTGACATCAGTTATTCAGGTCAGTACAACTGGTCACTAACACCCATTTCAGAACTTCTATGGCTAAGACAGACAAGCACCAAGAATGCCATGTATGCTTTTAAACTGCCAGCTTTAAAGCAACATCAGTATCTCTATTCCCAGTGACACTGAAAAAAGGCAGGAAACTCACAGCATGGGCTCTGCAGACCCAGTTGTGATATGGCAATAACAACAAACAGAGTCAGCATCTGGCTGCCTCTTAAACAAACTTGCTCAGCCCATTTCATCCAACAAAAAGATGCCATCTCAACAAGTCATTCAAGATACATGTCTCCTGTATGATACTTAAGATGTTTCATTCATCTCTGTGTTTTTTTGATATAAGAAAACTAAAACTGTCCCTTATCATTAGGTTGATTTTCCATGAACTCCTTCCTTTCTTTGGAAATGGCACATGCTTGGAATTTTAAAATCTGTTCAGAAATGTGGCAGAACTGGGTTACTAAGAACTATGTTGTAGCCAGTCTTGGTTTATGATGTGTCTCATAATACCCACTGGTAGTGTGCATGAAGAAACTCACTAGGAAACCAGAATGTCTCTAGACTCTCACTGCCCTCAACTGTTTCCAGCTGACCAGGTGCTAAAGAAAAAGGAGACCAGTACACAAAGATGTGGATGTAGGAGATAGAGGGCACTTACCTGGTCACGATCTCCTGCAAAACAGCAGCTTTTCATGGTGCATGAGTTGAAGTAACCCTGATTGTCAAACTGGAACACTGGCAGGCGGGAGTGGATGTCATAAAGTACAGGGGGCAGGCGACGCCGCAGGGCCAGGAGCTGGGTCCCATTGCTATTGAATCGCACACTCATGGCACTTTGGAGAGACAGGTTGCCACCATAGCGCAGGAGAGAACTAAAAGCAGAAAGCACAGGGATTCGGCATAAGTCAGGCTAGACAAGAGTCTGCAAAACACACTGAATTTATTTCTTCACATGTGCTCCTTCAGGCTTACAAATCGAAATTTCAGCAAAAGCATATTTCTATAAATCAGTTAGAAAGTAATAATGAGGATAAGAATTGCTCCTTGGTTGCATTAAAACAAATTACTTAAAATGTCAGGTTCCTTCAATCTTCAAAAGGCAAATTTAAGAAAAGGATAAAATACTTTGAAAAAAGAGATTAAAATCATTAGATATTTTGTTTACCCAAGCTAAGTGCATACTCTAAGAGATACTCATCAAGACCCTGGAAAGGAGTCATGTCCACCTTAATGGCTAAATCATGGATGGTAAAATGACATATTTATCCTTTGTATTAGAGACACAAGAACCATCAGCAAGAACAATAGATACTTTATTCTATTCTGGATATTTTTTCAATAATAATCATAATTAAGCATAACAAGCATTTATTTTTTAATTTTCAGTCTGTTCTCACAATTTTTAATTCCATATGGCATAACCAGGGAGTAAATATTAAAGAAAAAATTTAATTTAGATGCAGAAAAAGTAGTATAACAATTGAAAAAGGAAGATGACTTGTTTCCCTTTATAATTCCCATATTTATATTTAGCTTTGAAATCTACTTTGGTAAATGCACACAATTTCATTTATCTAGTTTCACTAGGGAGTAGTATGTTTTGGTTAACCTAAAATTCCTTCTATAGTTTCATGATGTTCATAACATTTAAAAAAAAGTTATAGTATGATTCTAAATAATTTCTTCTGATGATTCAGAAGATACTTTCAATATTACAGTGAACTAGGATAGCCATGAACTTTAAAAATTACACAGTACTCATTTTATACAGTATTCGTTTTGACATACACTTGTCTGTGTACGTTTTATCTTTCCGGCAGTGATATAGTAACATAGTGTCCAGATGTTATTACTGAGGGATGACTGCCTGCCAACATGCCATAACCAAGTTCTCTTTTGTATTTTATGTTCACTTCTTGGAGCACTGAATTACTGGGTAGGAAAGAGAGGCAAAGTATGTATGTCAGATATATGGAGAAAGGAGGGCCATGTCAGAGCTAATAACCTGCTCTGCCTCACATAGACATTGTCATGAAAAGGAAGTAGTTTTAGAGAAAAAAAGGCTTATAAATTCTAGAAATTATTACAGCAATGGAAAGGGCATCAAGAATCTAACTAGAGCCTAACAGATTTGAAATTTTTTTTGTATGTGTGTGTGGTACTACAGATTGAAATAAAAAGTGCTCTACCACTGGGCTATATCCCCAATCCTTTATATTTTTTGGGACAGGGGTCTCACTAAGTTGCCAAGGCTGGCCTCAAACTTAAGATCACCCTGCTTCACCCTCTTGAGTAGCTGGGATTATAGAAGTGCACCATCACACCTTGCAGATTTGAAACATTTTAAAGAAGTTTTAGAAGCATTTAACCAGAGAAAACTTAAACTGCTATTTGTTACTGGAAGAAATAACACATTTTCTTTTTGGCAAGAGAGTGATACCGCAGATTAAGGGGACAAGAAAGGAGATATTTTATGGGAACTTTAAAACATAGCAAGGTCATAAAAACAGCCTGTACTACCACTACACTCAATCCTGTGTCCCCCATCCTCACAAATCAGTCTTCTCACCAAAGGAGGAATGCTCTGGTGCTATGGCTCTGTAGAAACAGGGTTGGGTAGAACAGCCTGAAATCCTCTTACGAGTGGAATAAAGGGAAGAAAAAAAGAAGAGACAGAAAACTATCCCTAGAACAGCCATCAAGGAACAGCCAGGTATCCCTGTAGTCCCCAAGTAATAATACCTGCAGAGAAATGCTTTTATAATGATCCTAAACACAGACCACACTCACTCACATACACAGAGAACAAATGACAGGGCTGTTAGACTCCAGGCATTTCCTTTACTGGGTGCCCTGGCTGCCACAGGCATGTGGTGTTATCTAAACACTGAGCTCAAAAACAATAAGAGGCTTTCAATCCAAGATCAGCTTGGGATGTGCAAATAAACCAGAATCCATAGGACTGGGGGAGGGGAGTAGAAACAAGACTCAACAGAAAGAAACTTGGCCTGCCCCACTAGCCATAGCAGCAGGATTTGCATCAGCCCAAGCACCCTGACAGGAAACTGGGGACTCTAGAATACGCTCTTCCTGTCTGTTAACAGGAACTTTCTCTGCCCATTCTAGTCAGGCCTGTATAGAGGAATCTGCCCAAAACAAGCATGTGGGCCCATCTCATCTTGGTCTAAGCTACTTGACCCACCATTTGCAACACGGCCACACTACAGGGGTATGTTTGTGGACTTCAGGATAGTTACTAACTTCTCTCTTGCCTATACTTCTAGGCAGGGAACCTGACTCACACAATGAAGGTGCATAGGAATCTTGCTCCTAGAATGTTTAGGGGTGCAATCTACAGAACAGCAATTACCAACATTGAATCTTTCATGTTTGGGTACAAAATTTTGATTCCTTCCAAAGGAATGAATGACACCTGAAATACAGAAAGTGATTAACTTCTCAGAAGGGCCTCTGAGCTGGTTATTCCTGCTGAAAATAAGGATGCTTTAGTTCACTAGGGAGAAAAGGCTTAAAAGTAGTTTGTCCTCATAGTTAGGATATATAATGTCAAAGATTCCATAGCTCATGGTTTCAAGAGTAATAGGCATAAGAAATCATCTAGAATTTTTTAAAAATGTAGGTTCTTGGCATCCACCCCCAGATATTCTAATTCAATCTGGGAAGTGGGCCCAGGTATTTCAATTTAACAAGGAACCCTGGTTCATTCTGATGCAGGTGACTCTCTAATGACACTTTGAGAAATGTGATCCCATTTTGGAATGGGGGTAAGGGGGCAAAATGAAAAGATAGAGAAATGATAGATTACCAGAATCTCAATGAAAAGTTAGCCACAATCACACAATATGGCGATTTTTACAGCCCCAAGTCTATTAGTAATGACTCCAATTCCTTTTAAGGTCAGAGTCACTCTTTACTAACAACCCCCCCAACACACACACACCGCCATTTTTTTCTGTCCTCAACATATTCCCTGTTGGAGAAGAAATTTCTCATTTCCTCTGGGAAAACCAAAGGTGCTTCTATGTAACAAGAATGCCTCAATCTTGATTTGCTTTCTGGATGCTGATCCTGATGAGAGAGATGCTTCTGTCTCCACTCCTCTAGAGAAATGGCTGCCATCATAAACCCCGATGATATGAGCAGTATCTTGAACGAACTAGCCAAGCAAGTTAAAATGACTTCAAATAAAAACATTCCTATAGGAAAAATAAAAGAAATGCATTATTCCCAACCTATCTTCAACTAACTATTTGCTGTAAAATGCAACAGGAATGCAGTAGGAGGTGATCCAAAGGTCAGCATGCAAAAGACCTGGGGAAAAAAAGCAAGAGTACCTCTGAATATCAGGAAAAAGTCCTCACTGCATTTAGTTTATTGTTGCTTATTGAAGTTACAAAAACAACAACAACAAAAACTCAACTGGACTTCTTGAGAGACAGAGAGAGAGAGAGAGAGAATTTTTTTTAATATTTATTTTTTAGTTTTTGGTGGACACAACATCTTTGTTTGTATGTGGTGCTGAGGATCGAAACCAGGCCACACGCATGCCAGGCGAGTGCGCTACCGCTTGAGCCACATCCCCAGCCCCTCAACTGGACTTCTTAATTGTTCTAGCAGTGCAAAAGTACTTAACCAAGGTTAAAGCCTTGGAATAGAAGAAAACAGGCTGAGGCTGTTTCCAGAAAAAGAGAGTGTTATATCTAGCACAATAAAGGGAACTGAAAAACCTTCCAAGCCTATGAACCTAGATTACCATAAGTCCATGGTTAAGTAGTTTAACTGATGCTGCCTAATAGTGTCTACAAGATTTTCCAAAGTGCACTGGCATGAATTTCCCCATATTTTCTATGTGAAAGTTCTATAAGACTTGTGCAACATATGGAATCAAGACAGTACTCCAACTCAGACATCAGAACTGGTTCATACTACATGCAAAGAAGCATAAGTGAGGTCTTCCAGGTTGGGGGTAGATAAAAACTTTCATCAGTTTCTACTTCAGGACAGGATGACCTATAAGGGACATGGGACATTCTGTAATTCCTATAACACAACTCTTAGAATAAAACAAATCCTAGAAGATACTAGAACTAGGTAAAAGTGAGCAAATTCAGGGAGTCATAGTCCACCACTCATCCAATTCAAGTATGCTTAGGGTCCCAATAATCCCTTAGTCATTTCCTTTATATAAGCTGGAAGGGGGCTAAAGAACCTGGGTATGCATGTGGGTTCTCTCGGCTTTTTGTTTGTTTAGTTGTTGTTTTTGTTTTTGAGATGGGGTCTCTCTATGTTGCTCAGGCTAGACTTGAATTTCTAGGCTCAAGCAATCCTCTTGTCTCAGACTCCCAAGTAACTGGGAGTACAGGCTTATGCCACCATGCCTAACTTTTTGCTCTTTTTCTAAAACAGTACAATCCTCAGTCTCAAGACTGAAATTTCTTTAAAGGAATTTAAACTGTTGGGCAACTAGTCCAAGAAAAACTCATGGTATTCTGTGACTAAACAAATTTATTGTTCCCTGAATATGATTCACCACTAAGCTTCTCTGGCTTAAAATATATTTATGAGTTCAGTGTACTTGTTGAGTATCCAGAAATTTAAGTTTTACAGAGTTTTGCAGAAGGGTTTGACTCAATTCCTGTTTAGGAGGTCTTTGCATAATTAAATGGCATATATGGCCCATCCATTAAGCAAACATGAATGGCAGGAAATGTGGTATTTCTAATCTTCATCTTCCAGAACCAATCATGCTCAGAGCTAATGCATTCTAGAGGCCAGGTAATTGCTTCTGGCCCAGAGATCCCAAAAGTCACACAGTGTCAAAACAGGCATCTAAATAAATTAAGAGGCAGTA